TCAGAAACAAATTCCGAGATCCATGTAAGTAACGTGAGGCCCATAGGGTGGGGCCCACCCACCCCCTGTTGTTTGGATGATGATTTTGGAGTCTTCTTTGTTTTGTTTTTTTTTTTGTTTTGTTTTGTTTTTTTCCTATTTCCTATGTTACAAACACAAACACACATAATATCAGATCCGTACTCCTCAGGTCCGGGTGCATTAATGGAGTGATGTAAAGTTTAGCAGGAAAATGACATTGTACTTCTGGTTTTGTGGTTTTGTTTTTGTTTTTTTCGAGGCAGGCCAGGGATTTTTGTTTTCTTTGGCTACCATTAATAGTTTTATTTCTATTTTGTAAATAAAAATAAGAACAAAATTATTTTGAGAAAAAAAAAATTCTTTTTTTTGTTTGGTACGATCTCTACTCACGCCCTTTCCGTCTCTTGCATTTGTTTTTAGGGTTTTATCAACCGCTGGTTTTTGGCCCGCTCCACCACAGACTCAACATACATTTTTTTTTTTCAATTCTATTTCAAAATTAATAAAGATGTAGTGTCTTTAGCCTGAAATTCTAGATTAGCGTTTGATTTCAAAACTGTAGTTATCACTATTAAAAAAATAAAATTGAGAAAAAAAGACGATATGTAACTTTATTGCACTGTAGTAAGAAATATATAGTGTGCGTTTGAAATTGATTTTAAAATGATTTTATTTTCAATCAAAAGTAAAAAAGAGATTGTTTTGAAAATTATTATGGGGACCGATTTTAAAATTACGTTCGGTTGTTTTAAGATATTATTTTGAGTATAATAAAAAAGTGAAATAATATTTATTAATTAATATATTATAATATTATTGATATGTACTAAAAATGAAAATATAAAAGTGAAAATAACTTTTAATTATTTTCTAATTCTTTCATAAAAATCATTCTCACGGTTTTTACGTATTTTGAAAAGGAAAAAATGAAAATGAAAACGAAACGACGTTAAGCTAATGGAAGAGTGTAGCACTATCCTTCAAAGGAAGAATAATCACATTATTTAAATAACAATTAATTCTCAATTAATTATCCTTGAGTGTTTAATTTTAGAATTCTGTAATTTTAAAATTCTCACTTTGCCCTTTAGTGTCTTGTAGAATTACAAGGATGACGCGATGACTCATGGACCTATAATTTTGAGCTCCAATAAAATTAATAATTAATTAAACACTTTAATGAATTTATTAATCTTATTAATATCAATAGTTACTCCACTATAAACTTAGAATTGCACTCTTATAGATATAAATTACTTCTAAACTGTGAAGTGTCCATGTGATGTAGTCCCTACATATAGATCTGTCACACCCCAAAACAGGGGTTAGTGAGGTGGAGGCTCGTTTAGAGATGAAAAATGATTAAGAAAGTAATTAGACATTTGGAAATATAATAATCAAAACCAAAGTAAAATATTAAAGAAATTTCTAAACAAGCCCCATATTTTGCTGCAATTAAATTACAAGAAAGCAATGGGGACTTTCACATCTTCTGATAAAAGAGGTTTAAAAACTGAGCCTCTGGCATCATTCAAGGCTTCACCCACAGGATATACAATATTATACATACATGAATATGTAAAATATCATTTACAAACATCAACCACAGTCTAGAAATTTAAGGTTTAGAGTTCCATAATTTACAATCCTTACTGTCCTCACTTGATCAGATGGTAGCAACTACTTCAGCTACTTAGCACTGTTCCTAGCATCACCTGGAAAGGTTTAATATTTATAGAAACAAAATAAAACATGAGTGGAAGGCCCAGTATGATGAATTTTAAAATAAACTTTAAAGACAAGTAAATAAATGAATGAGTAAGTAAATAAAGATATTTAGTTCCAATACAATAGCCAGAACTAACATCCTTTTTCTGAAAACTTTAAATTTCGTATTACAGGCATCAGCAAGTAATTTATCCTCTGATAAATTACTTACATAACCACAGCACAAGCCTTATCACCACCGTAGAGGCCCGGTCCAGGATTTGGGTTCTACCCCTAAGGATATGATCTCCAAATCCTATCTAGGTTATCAGCAGGCTTACCATTTTGTAAGATATCCTATCTTAAGAAATCGTTCATTAAAACTTTGAAACAGTTCATTATAATTCAGATAGCTAAAATCAAGCTATTGTGTTAAAATGATTTTCTTTCACAAATATGTCCTTTCTTTAAAACATTTGTAAGGCCAAAACTCTTTGAAAACTTAGGTCAAAACAGGGTTAAAACAGCATTTTAGGCAAAACAGATTCAAACCATGTGTACATCGGTCGACCGCTGACAGAGACATTGTTCTTCACCGGTCAGCCGGTGAAGAGGGCACCGGTCGATCGGGCCGGTGGGAGCTGGACAGCTCGACTGACATAGCCGATACGAAGAAAATCCGGCCAGAACCTGCAAATCCGAGTTCCAATCCGAAATATTTTCAAAGAAATTCAACAAATCTAGGTTCCAGACAACAAATCAAGCCCAAAGAATCAAAAATTCCCAATTCCATCAGGATTTAACCAAAATCCATTTTGAACTAAAAATAGGGAGCAGAAAAATTCGAGATTCAAGAGAAATCTTTCAGAAATCTTACCCTAAATCATTCTCTTGATGTTGAAAACTCCATGAAGTTCTTCTTTGATTCAAACTTCTTGAGTAATGGTGAAAATTTTAAAGAGAAAGAGAAGGAGAGCTACAAGAGAGAGAGAGATTGAGCTGAGAAAGAATGGAGAGAGAGAGAGAGAGTTACGTGGGAGAGTGAGGGAAAAGAAGAAAAAAGAAAGAAAAGAAAAAGAAAAAAGGCAAATATCAAAGATATTTAGGAAAATATACAAGAAAATGTGTCTACACACGCTTCTGGGGTGAAAATATAAATATTGACATGTCACGCCCCTAAACCGGGGTTAGTGACGTGGAGGCTCGTTTAGAAACTTAAACCTGTTTGGAAAAGAGTGATTAGCAAAATAATTTAATTCCTTTCAAATCCAAAACATTCAGGTATTTCCAAACGAGCCCCTGCATTCAAGAGAAATTTAATTTCAAGAACGGTGGTGGAATTTCCAACCAACCAGTTTTAAAACCACATCACTGGTATCATGTCAGCAATTCCCACAGGTGTTTAGCTTACATGAATATAAACATAAGTAAATGTGACATCAACCACAATCTAGCAACATTTAAGTTTACAAACCATAATCTCTTATACATGCCTTGAAATAAAAGATAGGAGGGTTACAACTCTTTGCTTCCCGAGATCAAGTCCACACCACCGGTAATAGCTACCTATTGCGCACCACTCCTCGCGTCGCCTGGAGGGGTTTAATACATTTAAAAATAGAAAAAGGTGAGCGAAAGGCCCAATATGATATAAATTTTATAAAGCATTTAAAATAAAGGTACTCACGATCCGAAGATATACATCCAGAACCGATCATCCCTTTTTAGAAAAGGAAATACTCACAATAGAAATATCTGTATAATGAAAGTGTGCAGCTCATCATACCACTAAACAAGAAGCGGTAAAAATGTCTGTCTAAGAAAAGTGCAGAGCCATCATTCCACTAAACAAGAAGCGGATCCGTACGGGTTTCGGGACCTACCCCCAAGGATGCGATTCCCACATCCCGATCTCTAAGGCCACCATGCATTGTATCATTTCTTAAAATATTTCATTTTAAGAATTGATACGCTTTGAAATCTCATTTCCAAAATCATTGGAAAACTTAATAGCATTCTCATGCTATTTCTTTAAAATCATTTCCTTTAAACATGTTTTGTTCTAAAACATTTTCATTGGCCAAAATAATTTAAAATGAGGCTAACAAGGATATAGACAAGAATATCCTACCTGTTGGATATCAAACCTGGGCTAGCCTTCAGTTCTCCTAGCCTCCGCTTTCCTTAAAGCCTTAATGCTTGACTTCTCCACTAGCTTTATCACAAAAGCAATATCTTAGGAAGTATTTCTCATTCCTAAAACGAATTAAGTTCAATCATGTTTAATTGTTTCCTATTAGTGTGCCTTGACTCAAATCCAA